CGCGAAGCACCAGAGTCAAGTGTGAAAGTGTGCAGGGCCTGAGCAGACTCAGGACCAGAGGGGGCAGACTCACTAGCACCTAGGGCTGCAGTCTCTATACCTGGGTCAGGTGGGACACACAAGTAGCAGTCACCCTCAGCACTAACAGTCAATGCATACATGGCAGCAAGAATAGCATCATAGTCTAGATCAAAGATAGGAACACCACGCCTAAGCAGATCTGCCCAGTTGGGGAACTCAGTAGCATCAGGATACTTTGCGCGCCAGGCGTCACTAAGCCTAGCGAAGCAGCGGAACTCAGTGTGAAAACCGTCGCAGGTGCGACCCTGGCGGGGACCTGAGCGAATGATATAGGGGCAGCGATCAACACCCTTAGGCGCCCCACGCCCAGCATACCAGTCATGGAGCTGCTGGGAGGTGAGGGGCTGACGCTGCTGCTGCTGCTGCTGGCCACCACTAGGGCCCCCTTTTTGGCCAGATCCACCTCCACCCAGGCCTCCACCACCAGTGCCGCCGCCTCCTCCTCCACCACCTCCGCTGCCGCCTCCACCACCCCCGGTCCTGCCACCACCCCACCCACCACCTCCACGGCCACCCCCACCACCTCCACCACCCCCGCCGCCTCCACCACCGCTCCCTCCACCGCCACCTCCGCCACCCCTGCCACCCTTGCCGCCCTTGCCCCCGCCGCGCTTCCCACCAAGAGCAGAAGCGGCGTTGAACTTCTCAGTGCCGAGAAGGTCGACTGCAGCAGCAGCAGAGGCGTAGGAGGGGGCAAGGGGGGAGGGGGAGCACCCCTCAAAGAGGGGAGTGCGGGGAGTGCCACGAGCAGCGTTCACAGCAAGAATGTTCTTCTCCGCTGCGACTAGCTGCTGCGCGAAGTCGTCTATGGTGATGGTGGTAGGGTCCTTGGCGAGGAAATAGTTCCTAACAGACCGAAGCGTGTCAGGGAGGCGGGTGACGAGGATGTAGAGGGTAAAGTACATGGGGGGTTTGTTCTCGGCGAGGAACTCGTCAGTGAGAGCGGCACGGAAGCGTGCGTCACTAGCGCGGAGGTGAGTGATCAGATCGGCAGCAGTGGGAAAGGAGGCTAGGTCGGGAAACAGGTAGGGCAGGATGAGATTGCCAACGGCGGCAGTGGCTGGGGCGGAATAGCGAGCAACTACTGCGTCAAACACCTCCTTAGCAGTCTTGAGCGAGTTGAAGTGAGCGCGCTCAGAGAGGGGTAGGTGGTTGCGAATAGCTAGGCGGGCAATAGCATCTCGGGTCTGCCACTCAGTGCGGTCAGAGGCAGGAGCAGTAGCAGCGGGAGCAGGAGCAGTGCCAGTCACATAGTCTAGCAGTGAACGGCCGTCCTTGGTATCAGTCATGAGGTAGAGCTGCAGGTCGCTCAGCCAGGTCTCAAATTCAATAGGACTGCCATCAGGCTCAAAGGTAAGAACAGTAACAGTCGCCATGGTCACAGGGTAGGGAAATGCAGTAGGCTCAGGCAGTAGGTGCAGGCAGTAGGCTCAGGCAGTACGCTCAGTCACAGGCTCAAACATAGGCTCAGGCTCAGGCTTAGGCTCAGACTCAGACTCAATCTCAGGCATGTCAGAATATTATGCTCTAGCCTGTAGTGGGGTGCTCTATAGCGAGTACAACCCTTCTAGGGTTTGCTATTTGTATCCCCATTCTTGCTAGTGCAAACCCTCCTTTGCTCATTTCTCTCTTGCCTAGCTAGGGTTTACCTAGCTATGGCTCATGATTCTAGCTCCTATTTTGACATGCTATCAGAGCGGTTACGCTCCTGGCCTGTGGGCCCGCCTGCTTCCGCTGCCTTCCTGTGTGTCGCGCGTCCCGTGGCGCGCGATGTTCGTTTTTTCTTCCCGCCGCGCGCTCGGGGCGCGCGGCGGTTTTCTGCCCGCCGTGCGCCCCGAGGCGCGCGGCGGTTTCCCACCGTCGAAGCGCCCCCCGTCGCCCGTCGAAGCGCTCCCCCCCGTCGCCCGTCGAAGCGCCCCCGTCGCCCGTCGGAGCGCCCCCCGTCGCCCGTCGAAACGCCCCCGTCGCCCGTCGAAGCGCCCCTGGGACCCGCGCGCGGCCCGTACGGGCTGCGCCAGGCCCGCGCGCGGCCCGTACAGCCCGCGCGCGGCCCGTACGGCCTGCGCCAGGCCCGCGCGCGGCCCGGGCAGCCCGCGCGCGCCTCGTCCGGCCTGCGGCAGGCCCGTGCGCGCGCCTCGTCCGTCCCCCGAGCTTCTGCCGGCGCCCCACCCCCGCTACTGCCCGCGTTCCTGTGTTAGGGTTTGGGGGTGGAGGGTATGGGGGTGCCGTGAGTGTGAGCCGTCCCCTGCTCCTCCTCCTCCTCCGTCTCCCACTGCTGCAGCTGCCGCTGAGGGGGGTGGGTGTGTGGGGAGCCGAAGGAGTGGTGTTAGAGGGGTGACGTGGGAGTGGAGTTAGGGGTTGCAGCAGGGGGTGTGTGTTGGGGGGTGTGGGACAGTTGGAGGAGGTTGGGTGGAGGCAGCCGTCGTGTCGTCTGCAGCGCCTGTATTCCGGGGTTCTGATAGCCACCGGTAGCTCAGAGAGCCGGTTGCACCTGTCGCCCGTGGGTCCGTTGCTCCTGTCGCTGCTGATCAGACGCAGAGCCTGTTACTCCTGTATTCCGGGGCCCTTGCTCCCGGTAGCCACTAGAGCTGCACCAGAGCCGTCTGTTGCCCGTGTGTCTGCAGCTTCAGTCGTCGCCTCCACTCCTCTCTCCCCTCGCCAGCCCTCCTCCTCCTCACTTGCCCTCTGTGACCACCTCTAGCTTTGCTCATAATTGTGAACTTTAAACTATTGCTTCTTGAACTTGTGCTCAGAATGTGTGGTGACATTGTGATCCACCCTGAGCTTGTACTGCTTTGCTTGCTCTGCTGATTACACCCCACTTTGGCTATGGGGGTGTGTCAGAATATTATGCTCTAGCCTGTAGTGGGGTGCTCTATAGCGAGTACAACCCTTCTAGGGTTTGCTATTTGTATCCCCATTCTTGCTAGTGCAAACCCTCCTTTGCTCATTTCTCTCTTGCCTAGCTAGGGTTTACCTAGCTATGGCTCATGATTCTAGCTCCTATTTTGACAAGGCAGGCATGCTTAGGCAGGCAGGTAGGCTCTGGTTCAGGCTCAGGCTTAGGCATGGCGGGGCTTAGGCATGGGCAGGGGCTTAGGTAGGGCGGGGATTATGCTTAGGTAGGGCGGGGCTTAGGCAGGGCAGGGCGACGGCGCACAGGCAGGGCGCGGCGGCGGTTTCTGCGCGGCAGCGGGGCGTGCGCGGCGGTGGGGTGCGTATTGCAGCAGATGGCACGAGCGGCAGCAGGCTGCACGGGCGGCTGTTCGCGCGCTGCAGGGGATGCGCGGCGGCGGGCTGCTGCGGCGACGAGCGGCGCACGGGCACGCGCGGCGACGGGGCGTGCGGCAGCGGGCTGCACGGGACGGCGGGCTGCAGGCGGGGCGCGCGGATCGCGGGGCAGCAGCGGGCTGCGGGCTGCTTAGTGAGACGCGCGCTAAAAAAAAGGCGACACGCGCTCCGTCGAAGCGCGCGTAGGCAGCAGGCAGGGCAGGCAAGGCAAAGCAGGTGGGGTAACACAGTAACTGGTGGGCCCGAGCTTAGGTCCTAAGTCCTAATGCTCTAGATACCATCTTAGAACTTAGGTATGATGAGATTAGGTCAAAGGGGGGGGTACAAGGAGAATGTCGAGGGAAATTTTGTACCCCCTAGTGCTACCCCACTAAAGCCTAGATCAATCTAGCACAGATATAACATTTGACATGCCGTTCTCGTCCACTCCTTTGAGCTCCAGCTTGCGCTTGTCCTTGCTGCCGTGTGCAGCAAGGAACTTGTTCAGGCGAGAGGTGTTCGGCCCGTTGGATGCGCAGGGCTCCACGTAGTACTGCGACAGCTTGGTCTTCACTTTGTCGACATGATTCTTCACCTCTGTGATGTCGACCTGAAAGCAAACGGAGCGGGAAAACATTAGAACCAAGCACTTAAGACAAGAGCGCCTAGGACATGTTCATGACAATCCTACCGTCTGCTTCTGGAAGGCAAGATTGAGCCCGTTGAGTAGCTGCAGCACGTCAGCCAGGAGGTAAAGCATGTAGTGGAACTTGAAGCTGGTGGCGAGTTTCTCCATCCCGTCCTTCTCCTTCGTCCACATCCACATCAGCACCGGCAGCACGTCGCAGAAGCGATTCACAGCATCTCCGCGAGACAGCCAACGGACGGTGCAGAAGCCTTGCACCTCCAGGTGCGTCTTCAGAATGACGTCCTGGAGATGCATGTAGGTCTTGTGATCGGTCGATGAACGCCCGAGACGCTCGGCAGTCTGGCGTATCATTTGATCGACGACGTTGAACTCCTTGAAGCTCTTCGCGGCATCCTTTGCAGCCAATGCCTCGCTGCACAAGCACGAAAGGTTTGTGAGTATGTATGGCGACGGTAATAAAATAACAGAACAGTGCAGTGCAACCTTACCGATGCGCCACGCAGTGAACCGCCACCAGCCACGGGCAACGTTTCCGAAGCAGGGCGACAACTCCGTTCTTCTTGCCAGTCATGACGGATGCACCATCCGTTGAAACCCCGACAAGCTTGTCCATCGACATGTCCTTTGACCACAGGCACTTCACGATCGTGTCGTACAGTGCAGCGGCGTCGCAACGCTCGAGCGACAGGAGAGCAAGAAACTGGGACACAACGGCCTCGCCTCTCTCGAACGTAACATACATGATGAGGTGCTTTCCGCGGGCGCGATCCGTGGATTCGTCGAAGGAGAGGCTGTACCAGGCCGACTCTTTGACGTCCACGAGCTGCCTGGCCACCAGATGCTTCGCCATAGCCTCTACGAACTCGCCGAAGGCGTATCTGCAATGAGCACCTAGTGAACGTTAGTCACAATATATTAAAGGCACAAGTACGAAAATGCTGAGGCAACGAACAGAAGAAACAGCAGGAAATTAGGAGCAGAAACAGAGGCTAACAAACACTTACCGCGAGTAATAACGCCCGTAGGATTCGCTGTTCATCATGTCGTGGCATCCTTGCTCCGCCATGAACCGCACCAGCATGGGGTAGAGAGCGATCGGTGCATCGTTCTGCGCAATCCACTGAGCTGCTTGCATGCATTTGACGACCCTCGCCATGACTGGATCGCCGCTGAGCATGTTCAAGAGGCTGCGCTGCCTCACCTCCGTGCCGGCCGCGAGTCGTTCTGCTTCCATGGCCGCGAGGTGCACCTTGGACTGGTCATGGTTGCGGCACGCCGACTTCTGAAAATCCCTTGCACCGACGCCAGCACCGCCAAAGGGAGACTTGGTGTTAGGAGCGAACTTACAGCACACGGAACACTTCATACCATACAGCCGCTCTTCTTTGTTGTACTTCAGGCTCAGCCACGAGTACGTCTGCTTCCACGACGTGCTGAAGCGACGTGCCATACCCTTCTCAGCAGCTGGGATCTCGGTGTTCGGGGGTACTTCTGCATCTTCGGCAATAGCCTTGTCCTGCGCCTCCAGCTCCTCAGCAGTGGGTGGAGGCGGTACGCTTCGTGCGCGCTTTCGCGAATCTGGTGGCGGACTTGCGAAGCTAAGGTGAACCTGACGATAGCGGGCTGCTGTCCTAGGTGTAGTCTGTGACGAGGCGAGGCGAGGGTCCAACTCTTGCTGGGCGAGGCGCGGGTCCAACTCTGAGATTGCAACGTCTAGCATGTCTTCAGCATCCGAGGGTACGTACGGCTCGGTCTCGGTCGTAGTGTGAGAGTGAGAGACGTTCGTCATGGGCAGAATTGGAGGAGGGGTTTCACCCACGCTAGGGTCCATTGTGGGAGACTGTGGCTGACGAAGAGAACGGGATAGCTACCCATACTATAAACCTCGCGTGTGTGAGCGTCGCGACGCGAGGTTTACTCGGCAGAGTGGGTGGGTGGAGGAGAAGTGCCATAGCACGGCACGTACGAGAGTGTAGAGCAGAGAGCTTGGGTGGATGGTAAGTACCGTGGAGGTGGGTGGACGGTGGGGAAGAGAAAACATGGCACGAACAAGGGAGGAGAGGAGAGGGAGGTTGGGTGTGTGGTGGTGGTGGATGGATTGCATGGTGGTGGAGAGGAATCGTGGGCCACGAAGGAAGGTGGTGAGGGAGGGAGGGAGCTGCTATGCTTGAGTGATTCAGTTCTGCTGACGTGCATTGGCTTAGTGTGTTGGATTTGGATGTCTCTGTGGCCAATCAACTTAGCCAGATTCACCCAAGGTAATCCCTTGTGTCACAGCTGTAAACTGCGGCCAGCCCGTACTGGACGCTAAGGGAATGTGCGGGTGCTCCTAGGCTGACTGAGACACGCGGATTGGCTACAAAACGCTAAGGGAAAAATCCCCTTGGCGCGCTCTAGTGCAGGCTAAGGAGAAAGAGGGGGGGGGGGTCGGGCTCCCTGGGGGGGGGGGGGGTTTCAGAATCACTAGGCAAGAATGAATGAACTAACAGAAGTTTGGGTACAAATATGAAACCCTAGTTGGGGTTGTACCCCATATTGGCTACCCCACTACAGCCTACAAGCATAATACAGTTTAACACACCCCCATAGGCAAAGTGGGGGAGAACAAAGGGTCACAAGACCAGTCCAGCAAAGCAAAACAAAGCCCAGGGTGGATCACAACGTCACCACACTCCGAGCACAAGTAAAGGCCACAAGGCCAGTTCACATGCAGTGCTAGATATAGTACAAGACAAGCAACACAGTGATCAAAACCTAGCAAGCAAGCAACAAGATATATATAAAGTACAGTACAAAGAATGTCAAGCAGTGAGCAAGTGAGGAAACGTGGACACAAGGCCTAAAGAAGTACAGTGCCGCTGATGATCACTAGGCGGGAGCGCCTTGGTGAAGATATCAGCAGTGTTGGCCTTCGAGTCCACGTACACAAGCCGAAGCTGACCGCGCTGCTGAAGCTCTCGAGCAAGAAAGTAGCGAAGAGCAATGTGCTTCGTCCTGTGCTCCAGTCTGTGCTCCTGACACAAGGCAAGAGCCGCCTTGTTGTCACCGTACAGAACTGGAGGAGAACTAGGCCGCTCTCCCAAGTCAGTCAGCAGGTAGGTGAGCCAGCGTAACTCCTGTGCAGCCATGGCTGTGGCGTAGATCTCAGCCTCACAACTAGAGCCGAGAACAGAGGAAGAGCGGGTGGACCGCCACGAGACAGAACCTGAGCCAAGGCTGAAGGTGTAACCCTGTGACGACCGCTGCGTAGCCAGGTCGTCCACCCAAGAGGCGTCCGAGTGACCAGTGAGGACAACTCTGTCGCGTCCTCCAAGCACCAGCCCCATGCCTGATGTACTGCACAGGTAACGCAGCACCCTCTTAGCAGCCTCCCAGTGCTCTCGCCTGTGTCTCCCAGGCGCAACGTAACGAGCAAGGATGCTAAGAGGGTACGCGAGGTCAGGTCGAGTGCAAGTCATCAGGTACATGAGGCAGCCTACAAGCTCTGGGTACGGGCCACTCGGCTCTACGGACTCGTCCGAAGGTGGAGCTGAGAGCGAGTGGCTGGTAGCCAGAGGTGTGGCCTGTGGTGAGGAGAACTGGAAGCCGAAGCGCTGAAGGACCTGCTGCACCATGTGTGACTGAGTCAGGGTGATGGTGCGGCGAGCTCTGTCCCGGGTGATCTGCAAGCCAAGGTAGCTACGCAGTTCACCCAGGTCAGTGCAGGTGTGTCTCTTCTGCAGCTCCGACTTCACACGAGCGAGTGCCTCAGTGTCAGCAGTAGCAAAGACCAAGTCGTCGACGTACACGAGGATGTAGAACGGCGGCAGCGACGTGTCTGTGCGCAGAAACAGCGACGGGTCAGCAGTAGACGGCGCGAACCCAAGAGCCGCAAGTGTGGTCCTCAGTGTGTCGTGCCACTCACGTGGCGCCTGGCGGAGACCGTAGACTGGCCGGCGGAGACTCCACTGGGTACCAGGGGGAAACGACCCAGTAAAGCCAGGTGGGCGGCGCAGCCAGATCTCCTCGTGCAGGCTGCCCTGCAGGAACGCTGTGCTGAAGTCAAGAGAGTGAAGCTCGTAGTCACGCTGAGCAGCAACGTGCAGCAGAACCCGAAGAGTGGTCATCTTCGGGGTGGGGGAGAAGGTCTGGAAGAAGTCGACCCCCTGACGCTGACTGAAGCCTCTAGCAACGTAACGAGCCTTGAAGACAGGCGGAGAACCTGGCGGCCGCTTCACCCTGAAAATCCACATGCCATCGACGATGTTCGCCCCAGGAGGGGGAACCTCGTCGACGTAGGTGCCTGTGGACTTCCAGGATGCCATCTCTGCGTCCATGGCTGTCTGCCACTGAGAGGAGTAGGGACCCGAGATCGCCTCTGCGTAGGTGCGCGGAGTGGGGATGTCTACTGCATCCGGGTCTCCCTCAGGGGCAAGCAACCAGGCCACGAGATGAGGTACAGCAGCCGCAAGTGAGTCAAAGTCCTCGTGCCTGTCCTCAAGGACGTCAGTGCCAAGAGCACACTCACCCCCGACGGACGGAGGACAGACTGACGCAGACTCTGACTCAGCGACAAGGCTAGCAGCGTAGTCTAGACGACAGGCAGCAGCAAAGTCAACCAACTCAGCGACCAGAGCAGACGCAGCCGAGGACTCAAAGGTGGGGTCAGTGACAACAGTAGCAAGGAGACGCGTGACTGTAGGGTGCTCAGCGCGATACCGGTCAGACTCAGGGTCCGGAACGGCAGGCAAAGAGGACGCAGGAGGAGACGGTAGAGGGACACGCCGAGGAGCAGTAGAGGGACGCAGAGTCATGTAGTGAGTGCCTGGGACAGGCGGAGGACGCTCACGACGGACACGACTACCAGTGCGAGCAGGACGAACAGGCGACGCAGGACGAGACTCAGGCTCACGACGCTCTGTAAGACCTCCTGTGGGACCAGTATAAGGAGAGGGAGCAGGGAGAGGCGAGGCAGGCGGTAACTGTGACTGCGACTGGACAGGCGGAGGACACTCTACGGAGGGAGGAGGACAAGGAGGAGGAGCCTGCCCAAGAACCTGCTGAAGGAGCGGTACGAAGTACGGTCGCGGCCGCGCAGCGTCTCTAGAAGCAGAAGGGACTCCAGCGGCCGGGTCCTCAGCACCAGTAGGAGCTCCAGCGTCCGGGTCCACAGCACCAGCAGCAGCTCCACCGGCCGGGTCCCCAGCTCCAGCAGCAGCTCCACCGTCCGACTCCTCAGTACCAGCAGCAGCTCCACCAGGTGGGTCCGCAGCACCAGCAGCAGCGCCACCCCCAGAGTCGGGAGCTCCAACTCCGCTAGCACCGCCAACGCCAGAGTCCCCAGCTCCAGCAGCTCCAGTCGCAGTGCTCCCAGAACAGCCAGTCCCGGCAGCTCCAGTACCCCCAGTACGAGCACCCCCAGGACGAGCAACTCCAGCACCCCCAACTCCAGCCGAGCCACTAGGACGGCGAAAGCGTCGGACGTACCAGTCACGAAGCTGCTGCGGTGTGAGAGACTGCTCAGCACCCCGAACCGGAGCACCCCCAGACACAGTAACCCGAGGCTCCGTAGGCTCAGTAGCAGCACCCCCAGGCTCAGTACCCGCAGGCTCAGTACCCGCAGGCTCAGCACCCCCAGTCGCAGCACCCCCAGGCTCAGCACCCCCAGGCGGCAAACTCTCAGGCACAGTACCCTCAGCCCCAGCACCCGCAGTCCCAGCACTCCCAGGCCCCGCACCCGCAGGCTCAGCACCCCCAGGCGCAGCACCCCCAGGCTCCGTACTCTCAGGCACCGTACCCTCAGCTCCAGCACCCTCAGTCCCAGCACCTGCAGCCCCAGCACCCCCAGGCCCAGCACCCCCAGGCTCAGCACCCCCAGGCTCAGCACTCCCAGCAGCACCACCCGCAGCAGCACCTGAGTCACCTGTGACCTCGACAGGCTCAGCGACGGGAGGAGGGTCTACCTGAGAGACACCTGAAGGAGCAGGACCCTGAGGGGGAAGGGGGTCTACCGGAGGGGGACCAGGAGCAAGGAAAAGCGGCGGGGGAGGGAGGGGGGCAGTGCGGTAGGGGAAGAGACGGTAAAAGGGGACCGACTCGTCAAAGGTGACATCCTGAGAGGCGAAGACCCGGCGCGAGGTGGGGTGGTAAAACTGCCAGCCAGGCGCGTCAGGGACAAAGCCAAGGAAGACACAGGGAAGCGTGCGGGAGGAGAGCTTGTCCGCAGACGTATCGCGGACAAGGGCACGAGCACCCCACACCCGGAAGCGCGACGCATCGCCAACCTCCCCCGTCCAACGCAGTGTGGGCGAGGTCTCCGGCAAGGAGACACGGGGCCAGAGGTTGAGCTGATGCGCGGCGTACCGGACAGCAAACGGCCACAGAAAATGGGGAGCCGCCGCGTGAACCAAGGAGGTACGAGCGACCTCCATGACCAGGCCAATGCGACGCTCAGCAACCCCATTCTGCTGTGGGGAGTCCGGAAGCGTGAAGGTCTGCTCGATGCCCTCCGCCTGACAGAAGGTCCTCAAGAGGTCGGAGGAAAACTCACCACCTCTGTCAGAGTGCAGACACAGGACAGGAAGATCCGTCCGGAAACGGCGGCGGAGCTGGAGACGAACCGTGCGGATCCAAGGGATCAGAACAGCAGGGACCTCACCCTTGGTGCGCAAGGGGAAGACCGTGGTGTAACGCGAGTAGTCGTCGACAACCAGCAAAAAATACCGCTCACCGCCCTGACCACGAACGCGGGCTGGGCCCCACACGTCCAGGTGGAGGGTCTCCAGAGGAGCCTCTGTCGGGGGGAACGAGGAGGAGTGAGGAGCGGCGCGCTGCCGCCCCTCGACGCAAGGAAGGCAAGGCGGCGCAGGCGAGGCAGGGAGGGGAGGGAGGGACCTGGGAAGACCGGACACAAGGAGGCGACGGTGCATGCCACGAAGGCGTGGCAAGGAGGGGTGACCCAGGCGGTGGTGCCAGAGAAGAGTCTGGTGCGACAGGGAACGACACTCACAGGCGTGGGCCACCAGACCTGACGCAGACACCTGACCGACAGCAGCTACCTGGGGAGACGCAGTGGTCAGTGTGTAGAGACTCGACCCCGGCCGACGGGTGAACGTAGCCAGGTGACGGCCGGTCCTGGAGCACGTGCAGATCGCCACACGCTGTCCGCCAGGGGTAAAGGTGTCAACCCACTGATCCTGGAGGACAGCGTTGCTCACCAGGTTCGTCGAGAACGAGGGGAGGTGGAAACCCGACAACGAGCCAGACGGAACCGCCGGACAAGGGAGGACAGTGGTGGACTGGGCAAGGACTGGGCCCCCAGAGGGGTCAGCCAAGGAGACTGGGACCGGTGCAGGAAGCGGTGTGAGCTCAGTACTGTCACGAAAGAAGCAACGGGAAGCACCTGAGTCAAGGGTGAAGGTGTGACAGGCCTCAGCCGGTGCGGTACCTGAGAGAGGAGTCTGTGTGGGTGCTGTACCTGAGAGAGCAGACTCGAAACCAGTCGGGACAGCACTGGGGGGAGCAAGTACAGGGGGCACCATACCAGAGAGAGCAGACTCACTAGTACCCAGGGCAGCAGGCTCTATACCTGGGTCAGGCGGCACACACAGGTAACAGTCTCCCTCGGCACTAACAGTCAATGCATACATGGCAGCAATAATAGCATCATAGTCAAGAGCAAAGACATCAACACCAGCCCTCATGAGCTCAGCCCAGCGGGGGCGCTCAACATCCGCACCCATCTCCTCACGCCAAGCGTCGTCAAGGCGGGAGAAGCAGCGGTACGGGGTGTGGAACCTCCCACACGTCTGTCCCTTGCGGTCACCTGTGCGAATGACATAAGAACAGCGGGCACTGGCCCCCGACGTCCCACGCTGAGCAAGCCACTCACGAAGCTGCTGGGTCGTCTGGGGACGCTGCTGCTGCTGGGAGCTCTGGCCAGAGCCAGTGCCTCCACTCCGACCTCCGCCGCCACCACTACCACCGCTCCGACCGCCACCGCCACCACCGCCACCACCGCCACCGCCGCCACCGCCGCCGCCGCCACTACTGCCACTGCTCCCTCCGCCGCCCCCGTCTCCACCACCGACCCCACTCCCACCAGCGCTCCCGCCACCGCTCCCTCCAGCACCGCCTCCCCCCCCACCTCCCCCACCTCCTCCCCCACCAGCGCCACCACCACCACTTTTGCCCCCCTTGCCCTTGCCGGTGCGGCGCCTCCCACCAGGAGTAGAAGCAGCGCCAACAGACTCAGCACCAAGGAAGTCAACAGCAGCAGCAGCAGCGTAGGAGGGAGCGAGGGGAGAGGGAGAACACCCCTCAAAGATGGGGGTGCGAGGAGCGCCACGAGCAGCACCTACAGCTACAATGCTCTTTTCGGCCGCTAGCAGGTGCTCCTCTAGGAGGGCGACTGTGAGCTCAGTGGGACAGCGAGCAAGGAAGTGGTCTCGAACTGAGCGGAGGGTGTCAGGGAGACGGGTGACTATGAAGTGGAGTGTCCAGTACAGTGGAGGGGGGTTCTTAGCGCAGAACTCGGTGGGAAGGGCGGCACGCAGGCGAGCATCACTAGTGCGAAGGTGGGTGATAAGATCGGCGACTGTAGTAAAGGTGGACAGATCGGGGAACAGGTACGGCAGCATGAGGCGGCTAAGCTCGGCTGTGGCAGGCGAGGAGTAGCGAGCGACGACAGCGTCGTACAGGGCCTTAGCGGATTTGCAGTCGCCAAAATGCTCTAGCTCAGCTAACGGCAGGTGACTGCGAATGGCTAGGCGAGCAGCTGCGTCACGAGTCTGCCAGTGGGAACGAACACTAAGCTCAGCTGTGGCAGGAGGGGCAGGCGCAGCACCAGACGCGTAGTCATAGAGCGACACATGCTCCTTGCTATCGCTCAGGAGAAACAGCTGCAGGTCATCTAGCCAAGCGGTGAAACGCACAGGGCGGCCCTCAGCATCGAACGACAGCACGCGAATGGAAGCCATAGCGACAGTGTGACAGAGTAACGCAAGCTGCCGCAGCAGGGGAAGGCGACTGTGCACGGATAGAGAGCAGCGGGCGAGGCTGGCGCTACGGGCAGGCGGCGCTGCAAGCGGTCAGTGCGACGGGAGGGCGACGCTGCGAGCGGGCAGCGCGGCGGACGGGCCGGGAAGCGGGCAGCGCGGCGGGCAGGCGGCGCTGCAAGCGGGCAGCACGGCGGGCGGGCGACGCTGCGAGGCGGGCGGGCCGCAAAGCGGGCAGCGGGCGGGCGGGCGGGCTGCGAAGCGGGCAGCGGGGCGAGCGGGCTGCGATGCGAGCGGGCCGCGAAGTGGGCAGCGAGCGGGCGGGCGGGCTGCGAAGTGGGCGGGCCGCGAAGCGGGCAGCGGGGCGAGCGGGCTGCGAGGCGGGCGGGCCGCGAAGCGGGCAGCGAGCGGGCGGGCGGGCTGCGAAGTGGCGGGCCGCGAAGCGGGCAGCGAGCGAGCGGGCTGCGAAGCGGGCGGGCCGCGAAGCGGGCAGCGAGCGGGCGGGCGGGCTGCGTAGCGAGCGGGCCGCGAAGCGGGCAGCGAGCGGGCGGGCGGGCTGCGAGCGGGCGGCTCGGCGAGGGGCGCGCGAGGGCGCTAGTGAGGGGCGCGCGAGGGCGCTAACGAGGGGCGCACGAGGGCGCTAACGAGGGGCGCGCGAGGGCGCTAACGAAGGGGCGCGCGAGGGCGCTAACGTGGGTGCGCGCGAGGGCGCTAACGAGGGTGCGCGCGAGGGCGCTAACGAGGGCGCACGAGGGCGCTACGAGGCTAGGGCACGGGGTAGCGTGGTAACCGCATGCGAGCGGTGGTGGGCCCTAAAAAAAAACGATCGGTAGGTCCTAGGGACCTCCTGCTCTGAATACCATTTCAGAATCACTAGGCAAGAATGAATGAACTAACAGAAGTTTGGGTACAAATATGAAACCCTAGTTGGGGTTGTACCCCATATTGGCTACCCCACTACAGCCTACAAGCATAATACAGTTTAACAGGGGGTCCTACGATCCGAAACCAAAACTTAGATAAAGGGGAAGGCCTGCTTTTGTCCCTTAACGGATCCGGGGAAGGGTCAAACGAAGCACTTAGTGGCGCGGGTGGGGTGCGAATTAAAAACTTGACGCATCGGAGCTGGAGCGAAACTAACCCTTAATGTTCAGGGCATTAAGGGCATATGCCCGTCAATCGACAGGCCTGATTCGAACTGCGATCTCATTTTCCTAGTGCGTGTTTGCAAATGCAATCTTTTCGGGCAGCACCATGCGGCTGCCCGTGTTTAGGGTTGGGGCTCCCCTAATCGCATGCCATCCAGATGGGGTTTATATTTTCTGACCGCGGGCAGATTACGACCCCTCAGCTTCTTCCAGTGCGGATTGCATTTGCGAACCGCGCTGGCTAAATTGGATTGCAGCTGAAGTTGTCCCTGATACGATAGAAGCCCACCTTCCCTCTTTGCTCGAATGACATGTGTGGATGGCGACGGTGGCCAACCATATCGAGCTGGAATGAGTGGAACCAACCCTCGTAAGGGCGGGTCAATGAATGCACGTATTCGCAGAAAACCCTACCCAACCATCCTTTGTTTTAATTGGACTGCTCTATATTAAGCCTAAACCTTTTTGAACAGTTTTCGGACGTACTCTTTAGACCCGCCCTAACAGATCAATGCAATACTAAAATGGGTGTGTCATAAACAAGATTCTTCGTTAAAGCGACGGTGCACATTTGCCACCCAAAACCCTAAACCCTGGCGAGCTGTTACTGCGGAAGAAAAGTGTTTGCACGAAATTCATGTTTTCGTCTGCCAACACTTTCGCGCTGGCAATCCTGGTTCAGGAAAAAAACTTATGAACCTCCCGCTGGCAAATCTAGACCCTCGTTTTAACGTCGGACGGGTTGCGTTGAAGTTATGTGGTTGTCATTTGAAGACATGAGGAATGGTTGATATTACACGCACGTTATTTAGAGAGAGCCACGAATATTCACCCTGTTTAAAACAGATATTTATTATTTCCTCATTTTGTTCTTCCTCATTTTCGTTTCTCTTCCAATTGGATGCTGTGAATGTGGAAAAATTTGAACATATACTCTATCTGTTATTATATTTGGCAGTAGTGTTTGTATGTACAAATGGCACTATCATATATTCTAGTCAGTGTGTTAGCTTGGAGTAGCTTGCAATTCACCCAATCGTACTCAGATTTTGAAACCGGTTCTTGCCTTGTTCTGCTTTGGCAGAAAATTTTCTTGCCAGCGCAACACAATCCGAACCAAATTTTCTTGACAGAACTACCTTCCCTGAGTCTTGTCTAGGTTTCTTGAATTCAAGCACCTCCTCTACTTCTGCTCTTTCTACGTTTCCCTAACCCAACCATAGCTCATGCTTTCACCACGACTCTCTACCATCTATCCTTCCAGTCGCCTTACTCCACCGCCGCCTCGTCACTCCCCACCGTCGCCTCTCCCTCCCTCCCCATCATAGCCTCTCCCTCCGTCCCCGCCGTCGCTCTCCCTTTCTCCTCGTTGTCGCCTCTCCCTCCCTTCCCGCCGTCGCCTCTGATGGGTGCACTAGCGTGAGCGCGGGTTGCTGCACGACCGCGCGTTTTGTGGGCCACCGTCGTCTTAGGTGCGTTTCCGTTTCCCTGACCTTTATTTCCTCTCCCCTCCTCTGAAATTTCAGTTTTTTTCTACCGTTTTCGTAAGTTCTTTTTGCTGTTTGGTGATTAACGCGCTGGCGCCTAACGGGCTGGCGCATATCGCGCTGGCCCTATAGCGCTGGCGCATATCGCGCTGGCCCTATAGCGCTGGCGCCTAATGCGCTGGCGCCATATGCGCTAGCGCCTAGCGCGCTGGCGCCTAACGCGCTCGCGCCATATGCGCTGGCTCCTGGCGCGCTGGCGCCTAACGCGCTGGCGCTTGCTATGCTGGCGCCATGTGCGCTGGCGCCTATTGCGCTGGCGCCTAGCGCGCTGGCGCCTAGCGCGCTGGCGCCGTGTGCGCTGGCGCCTATTGCGCTGGCGCCATGAGCGCTGGCGCCTAGTGCGCTGGCGCCATGCGCGCTGGCGCCTATTGCGCTGGCGCCATGTGCGCTGGCGCCTACCGGACTGGCGCCAAGTGCGCTGGCGCCATGTGCGTTGGCGCCTATTGCGCTGGCGCCTAGCGCGCTGGCGCCTACCGGGCTGGCGCCAAGTGCGCTGGCGCCTAGCGCGTTGGCGTCGTGTGCGCTGGCGCCTATTGCGCTGGCGCCATGAGCGCTGGCGCCTACCAGACTGGCGCCAAGTGCGCTGGCGCCAAGTGCGCTGGCGCCATGTGCGCTGGCGCCTCTTGCGCTGGCGCCTACCGGGCTGGCGCTAAGTGCGCTGGCGCCTAGCGCGCTGGCGCTGTGTGTGCTGGCGCCATGTGCGCTGGCGCCTAACGCGCTGGCGCCATGCGCGCTGGCGCCTACCGGACTGGCGCCAAGTGCGCTGGTGCCATGTGCGTTGGCGCCTACTGCGCTGGCGCCTAGCGCGCTGGCGCCGTGTGCGCTGGCGCCGATTTCGCTGGCGCCATGTTCGCCGGCGCCTAGCGCGCTGGCGCCATGCGCGTTGGCGCTTAGCGCGCTCGCGCCTATCGCGTTGGCGCCATGCGCGCTGGCGCCTACGGGGCTGGCGCCATGTGCGCTGGCGCCATGTGCGTTGGTGCTTAGCGCGCTGGCGCCTATCGCGCTGGCGCCTATCTCGCTGACGCCTTAAGCGCCTGCACCTTAGGCATTGGCGAGTCTTCCTTAGTCCTCTTGGGCACGCCTTAGTGATTGTTGCTATGTGCTTTAACCCTAGGTTGCTCATGTCTGGTGCCTTGGGCGCATTGGCGCTTATGGGCATTGACGCTGCGACGTAAGCAGCTAGGGTGCTGGCGGCAGTAGCGCCATGGGCGTTGATGCCTTTTGGAGCTGGCGCATTCGCGCCTAGAGCGTTGGGTGTGTTTTTGGTGCCATTATCGTTTCTTCTCTCTTTCTTTTAGGTGATGCATTCTGTGCAGGCTGAGGTGGTGTGCATGATGCCTTCAAACCACGCGTGTGAGTCGTCCAATTGGATTTGCCTAGTATTCATCTTTTGTCAATTTATTGCATCATCTTGAACACGTTCCGTCATGCGTTGCTACTTCTAATGCACCTCGTTGGCGTCTTGCTGCAGCGCGCTGACGCCTTACGTTATTCACTGGATTCACTCACAGCAATATACCTTTCTGCGTGACCTGTGTGTTTTGCAGGATTTGCCTGCCACATTGTGGGGAGCAGAAAAAGATGTGGAAAAGCATGGGGATAAAGAGGGAAGGGGGGAACGGATAGGAAGGGGGAGCTTGCTAACAGTGATTGTTACGTATTCAGCCTTTTTGCGTCTTTTTGTTAAGCTTGTTTGCTCTCTCTCCTCATTGTATGTATGTATGTGTACATATATGCGTGTCGATGCATGTGTGCTTGTGTGTGTATATTGTTGGGCTGAGACAGCCCTTAGGATCTTTGCAAGGGTAAACTCTGGGTAGAGATGATGTAATAGCGGAAGCGTTTAATAAAGTTGTTGTGAACCACCTTGCGCTGGTATGTGAGGGCAAAGTAAGTTAATTAAAGCAAGCAAGTACAAAGATTTATATAAGAGTACAAGGAATACGAAGAGATACGACTGATAACTATTTTACTGTTTGCTGTTGCGGTTCGATACAGTGCGACTCGGGCAACTGCTCAATATCGAGTCAGTTGTGTGTCCTTGCTGTCGCGCTGCATTTGTCAGGTCAAAGGTCGCTGACCTTTGACTTTCGCGTAACCTCCAACAGTTACTTTCAACCTCCGAGGGTTGACTCGCGGGTGTCTCGTTATGATTTACTTCGCTTCTGGTGCGGTGTTTCGACACGACAGAGGCGCTTACGACTTGTTGTTTCCAACACTCCCCTTCGCTTCTGGAGTGTCGTTGCTGATGACGTGGCTCTGTCCAATCAGCAGCATGCAGTGCTGGAATTTCTGTTTTCCGAGCTTCTTGGTCAAGTAGTCAGCTGCCATCTCTGACGTGGGACAATATGTCAAATGTTGTAGCCTATAGTGAGGTTTGTCTTAGGGGGTACAAAACTTAGGGTTAGCTATATGTACCCCAACCAACATCAATGCATCATTCATTCCTCATTCTGACATGGTATCAGTTAGGTTAGGATCCTGTGGGATCCCGTTTCTCCGTTCTCCGATCGTACCGCCCGAGCCTAGTGCCGGCCCGATCTAGTCCCGTTCGTTCGTTACCGCTCGTTCTTCCTCCCGATCTAGCGTAGCCCGATCTAGCGTACCGCTGCCGGTCGCGCTGCGCTTTCCCCCCCGCTGCCGTCGAACCGCGCTCCCCCCCCCCCCCCCCCCCCCCCCCCCCCCCCGCTGCCCGTCGACCCGCGCTTCCCCCCGCTGCCCGTCGACCCGCGCTTCCCCCCGCTGCCCGTCGACCCGCGCTTCCCCCCGCTGCCCGTCGACCCGCGCTTCCCCCCGCTGCCCGTCGACCCGCGCTTCCCCCCGCTGCCCGTCGACCCGCGCTTCCCCCCGCTGCCCGTCGACCCGCGCTTCCCCCCGCTGCCCGTCGACCCGCGCTTCCCCCCGCTGCCCGTCGACCCGCGCTTCCCCCCGCTGCCCGTCGACCCGCGCTTCCCCCCGCTGCCCGTCGACCCGCGCTTCCCCCCGCTGCCTGTCGACCCGCGTTTCCCCCTGCTGCCCGTCGATCCGTCGCCCTGGCCCGCGCCCCAGCCCGTCTCCCCAGCTCGCGCCCTAGCCCGTCGCCCTGGCTCGCGCCCTAGCCCGTCGCCCTGGCTCGCGCCCTAGCCCGTCGCCCACGCCCGGCGCCTTTGCCCTACCCGCGCGCCCGCCACACCTGACCTACCCGCCCGCTCTTGCCCGCTCTTCCTGCCCGTTCTCCCTTGCCGCTGCGCCCTGCTTTCCCTGCCAATTCCGTTTGCACACTATGGCGACCCCTCGCGTCCTTCGTTTCGATGCTGACGGTCGCCCGCTCGATTTCCCAGTCTGGCTTCTTCGCGCTCGCCGCCTGTTAGAGAGTCAGGTCCAGGCAGGCGAGACCCTCTGGGCGCACGCTACTGGTGCCCTACCTGCGCCCCCCGACCCTACGCCTTTAGGACCTGCCCCTGACGAAGCCGCTAGAGCCCGCTTTGCCACTCAGCGAGCTGACCAGACGGCTTGGACGTCACGTGACGCTGCGGCCTGCATCGCGCTCAGCAGCCTCCTCCCTGAGTCTGAGGAGGTTCACTTCACTCAGGTTCGCACCGCTGCTGCGTACCTCACTGCGATTAAGGCCCGCTACTCTACTCCCGCTGCTGTCTCTCTTGGCCGCCTGTTCCTCCCGTTCCTGTTTCCTGACCTAGCGTCTTTTGAGCGCTCTGCTGACTTGATCGCTCACCTCCGCTCGCTCGACGCTAGTTACCGCGCTGCTTGCACTGAGGCACAGCTTGCACTGCTTCCTCCCCCTATGGCGATTACTATCTATTTCATCGCCACTAGCCTCCCTGACCGCCTTGCCTCCGTTCGCGACGCGCTTCTGCTGAAGCACCCTAGTGAGCTCACCGTCGAGGTCCTTGAGTCTGCACTCAAGGACGTCGAGAGCAACCTTCGCTCGGTAGCCGCTGCCTCTGGTGCTGTGCCCCCCCCCACTCTTCCACGGGTGCACAGTCCCGCAGTTACCCACCTTTACTGCCTCACTTGCCACTGCCGCTACTGACGCGACTGCAGCTGCTGTTACGACTGCGTCGCGGTCCCGCGGTAGGAGTGGCAAGAAAGGCGGTTCTGGTGGTGGTAGTGGAGGTGGAGGCGGAGGTGGTGGAGGTGGCGTTGCGCCTGGCGGCGGTGGAGGTTCAGGGCCTGGAGAGGCGCCTCGTGCAGTGACTGGTGACTCCACTGCGCCTGCTGGTGGTGGCGACGCCCGAGTTCGTCAGTCGCCTCCTGTACTTCCTGCCCCGGTTGGTGGAGCAGCGGCGTGGTACCAGGCTCAGCGTCAGCAGCAGCTTCTGCAGCACCAGCAGCCCCTCTCCTCCCAGCAGCCTCAGCAGCAGCAGCGGCAGCAGCTGGCTCCAGGGTCGGGGCTGCGTCAGACCCAGCGCGGTGCTGCTTACACTCCCTGCACCTACCAGGTTCTGACAGGCCCTCGTCGTGGCCACCCTTGTGGCCGGTTTCACCCCCCTGGTCAGTGCTTTGCTCAGCTCACTGACACGGTTCGTTTGGTCTACGGGGTTGGTGCTCCTGCCCCTGACTGGCTGCCTCTTGTTCAGCGCTACGGCTCCGCTCTGTGGGGCATGTCTGCTGAGCAGTTAGTTGATCTGATTGGTACTCCCCATGCTATGTATGCTGTTGTTGACTCTAGTGTTTCTGACTCTGCTTACTCTGGTGTTGTTAGCTTAGGTGCTAGCCTTGCTCAGTTGCCTGTTGCTAGTGTAGGTTCTTGTGTAGACTCTAGTCCAGCGGCTACCTCAGAGGACGGTTCGCTGTCGTTCACGCTGGACTCTGGAGCTTCTCACTGCTTCTTTCGTGACAGCACGACACTTACGCCTCTTCCTGCGCCTGTTTCTGTGGCGCTGGCTGATCCCACTTCGGGACCAGTCACCGCGCGTCACACTACCACCTTGCCGTGTCCGGCTGCTCCTTCTGGGTCTCTCACTGGGTTTCACGTCCCCTCGTTCTCCCGGAACTTGGTGGGCGTGCGACCCCTCGTGAGTCAGCACGTGGGTGTGTGGTTTGAGCCTTCTGGAGAGACTGCGGTGTGTGTTGACGGGGACTCTTACCAGCCCCTCGCCACTTTTGCTGCTGAGCCGGGCTCCGGTCTCTACACTCTTCACACTGGCCCGCGCCCTCAGCAGCGACTGCAGCAGCAGCAGCAGCAGCAGCAGCAGCAGCAGCAGCCGCAGCAGCAGCAGCGGCAGCAGCCGCAGCCGCAGCCACAGCCGCCCCTCCTGCCCCCGGCCCCTGTTTTGCCTCCCGTTCGAGTCCTCGCGTCTCACCAGGTTGCTCCGTCCCCCCAGGTAGCTGTGTCTTGTCAGGTTCCTCCGTCTAGTCCGGTCGCTGCGTCGTGCTCCTGTCGGTCGCTTGCCCACCCCACCGTTTTGTGGCACCACCGGCTGGGGCACCCTTCTCCTCCTCGTCTTCGCGCTATGTCTCGTCAGCGTCTTGTCTTAGGTCTCCCGCGTGTCTTGCCGTCGCTGCCGCCGTCCCTTGCACCACCGTGCGGTCCTTGCGTCGAGGGTAGGCTGCGCGCCACCCCTCACTCCTCCTCCCTTCGTCCGGCCACCGAGCCTTTTGAGACGCTGCACTTGGACGTCTGGGGCCCCTCTCCTCGCCCTGGCCCTGAGCGTGAGCGTTTCTTTTTGGTGGTCGTTGACGACTACTCCCGCTACACCACAGTGTTCCCCCTGGCGAGGAAGTCTGAGGTGACTTCTACGCTGATCAGGTGGTTGCTTACCACCCAGGACACTCGTGGTCGTCGTGTCAGCTGTCTCCACTCCGACCGCGGGGGCGAGTTTCGCTCCGGCATTCTCGCTGGATTCTGTCGCGAACAGGGCATTCGTCAGTCCTGGACGCTTCCGGAGTCCCCACAGCAGAATGGGGTTGCTGAGCGTCGCATAGGCCTGGTCATGGAGATTGCCCGCACCTCCTTGACTCACGCCCGTGCCCCCCATTTCCTGTGGCCATACGCGGTCAGGTACGCCGCGCACCAGCTGAACCTCTGGC